CAAAGGATCTGTTTAGTACGTATCAGTTTTGTATTAATAAAAAAAACTTGCTTTGTCTCGTAGTCCTTTAGTTGATTAGATACTTGCTTTCCTTTATTGCATGTTTATTTTTATGTTTTAAGAGGATACCTTATGTTCAGTAAGAAATCAACTATATTTGAAATGTGTTGTGTTGTGTTATTTGGTATGTGAAACATTTTTTTGCAAATTTTTGTATGTTTAAAATTCAAATTAAATAGCCCCATTTTACCTTACAATTGTATATTTAATGGTTCATTTCGTTGTTGCCTAGCATGTCATCCAATCTCTCTCTATTGTTGTTGATTATATCTCGTTGTATCAGTCGAAAGGTCGAAAATGACATTATGACGTTGGACTGGCCGGTATGATTTCCTGATGCAAATGCAATAAAAAGAATTTGAGCATTTATGAACAGAAAACTTCAGGGAAAACGTATATATACTTTGTGAAGCAGTTATACTACTCGTATATCAAGCCCAGTAAATATAAGATTGCTTTCTCTCAGACAAACTGTACATACCAGAATAATAGATCACATAACGTCGAAATGATATTAAAATGATTCGTATCCGATTGAAAAGTGCACGACTTTTAATAATCATTTAAGAGTTATTTTAACGTCAGTTTAATCTCATGATGACTTTTGCTTAGTTACAAATCGACAATACAGACTTATTTCTCGTGTGTAATTTCAAGACACATTCAGGCAACCGACACTGTAGTTTGAGCCAAGCGGAACTAACAATAAGTTTAAACCGAGGCTTCGCAGTACGATCTGAATATTCTTATGACTTCCCCTCGCCCGAGTTCGCTCAATGTTCGCTCATCTCTTATCCATCTATTCATTTCGTCTTGCTGTTCTGTAGTTCTGGAAAGCTCAGCTTTAACGTGACGGACCGCAAGAACATCGCGGACGCGCGACTCGCCATTACATATAGAGAATGGAGGGATAAAAAAAAAAGAAAAATAAGCAAACGCATGCTCGCGTATGCCGCTTCCGCAACGAGACAGCCATTTTTATCGATGATCGCCGCGCCCCTGATGTTCGGTTCGGTCGGATGTTCCTACACTGGAATGCGTCCGCAATAAAACAGATCCGGGTTGGCAGGGTGGTCGCGGGAAGTGTCGATGGAATGCGTTTTCAAACCAGTTGGCGAGAACGGCGAGGTACTAGAGCCAATTTATTTCACCGTTTTAACTATATTTTTTATCCTTGAAAACATTGTTATAATTGACGAATGTGATGATAACAGCGATTATTGTAAAGTTAATATAACAATATTCCTTTTATAAATACATCTTTAACATGCGCGAGGTTTAGTAGATATAATTCTATATATAGATACATATATATATAATATTTAATATTTGAAAATGCAATAACTCAAGCGATTTTAGCATTGCTTAAAAATTTATCTTTCTATCAAGTCTTGCTATTCAAATTAAAACACGATAAATTAGTTTGCTAAATTGGGTTGTTTAATCTTTCAAGTTACATTTTTGTGTTAAAGTTAAATTGACTAGTACTACAAAAGTTTTCAATATTTTTATAATAGAATAATTTATAACGCAGATAATGTTATAATTAGAAATTTATTACTTATATAATACTAGCCAATTATCATCATTTATTTTGAGTATTGAAAAAGTATTGCTAACAGTATTGTTAACATTTTCAGCATAGATTCTACTTTAAAGACACATGTTAATGCATATGTTTTAATCCTGGAAAAGGGTTTTCTGTGAATGACAAAAAAAGTATATATTTGCAATACAAAAATTATATGATTTAGTCGGTGATACAAACGACTTTAGGATCCTTTAATTACCCTCGATATTCTCTATCTTTTGTTTTTTTCGACATATTTAATTTAAAAAAAAAAAATTAAATAGGCATGACACACACGTATTGTTTACGCGCGCTGTGAATGGACTAGGAGGGGATTGACAAAAAGCTTTTATAGTGCCAGGACTTTTTTCTATTACTCCCTAGAGTTACAAGAAAGAGAAAATGAAGAAAAAAGAAAGGAGGACAGAAAGAGAGAGTGCAGAAATTCCGCTATGGAATTTCTGGACTCTCGGACGGCCAAAGTTCTCAAGAGAGGTAATTAGAAAAAGAAAAAGAAAGTAAGCACACTGCCAGGCCCTTGTCTCTTCTTTGGATTACGTAGTACGAGAAATGTCGGAGGAGGACTGGAAGGTTTCCGTCAAGCGTAAATCGTGGTCGGTTCGAACTTTTAATTACGTGATTCGCAGAATGGAGCGTTGACGGGAGAGGGGAGATGAGAAAGTGGGTGGCGGGCGAGCGGAGAAAAAGACGTAGAACAGACTTAAGCAGCACTCGAAACTCCTTCCTAACAAGACCGGAAATCTGTCGAGGGCCCTCTGGGAAATGCTAGCGCGGCGGATGAGGTACGCCGTTTTTCAATTAATTAGTTTGGAGCGAAAGAATGACGCTGTAATTGCAGCTGCCATCTGCAGCGGATATAAATCGCACGCGCGCCTAAACGAACCGCGTCGATATAGAAGATATATATATATATATATATATATATACATTGTGCTACAAAACGTTACTTTTTTTTTCGCGGCTCACCGCTCGTTCCGAGCTCGAGTCAGGAAGCAATTATTGCTATTATTTCATTGTCAGTGCGGGTAGGCGATTTTTATTGGCGCACACAAATCGGAAGTATGTTTTCGCTGGTTTCAAGTTGCGGCGCCGAAGTCGGATAACGTTCAAACATTGGTACGCACCCTTCACCGATTCTAATTTAAAAGTTACGCACGAGAACGTGCAAGAAGTTTTTTCTTTTAGATTCCTGGATGGAGAACATAGTTTCGTTCACGATTAGAGATCCGTGAAGTTTCATTTGGGAAACCCTCGTTCTTTTTTTATAGGAAAAATGATTACACACGCGTATGAGAACACGAAGTCTGGTCTCCCCGGGCTTTCATGGAAGAGAGAAAGAAAAAATCAGAAAAGTTGAAAAGATTCTCCCTGCCATCCATCCCCCGATCGCGAAAAAACGCGACGGCGATAATGGCCTCCTCTGCTCCCACGAGCTTTTTTTCGAGCCGCGCACGATAAGGGCAATCGGAATTAATTTCTTCGAGGGAGCGAGTAAATGTGCGTTTTTAATGGTTTCCTCGCATAACGCGAAATCCATTAACGGCCGTCTCTCGCAAGAATTTAGCGTTTCTTTTTTGCACAGTTTTTGCGCATTCCTTTTCCACGCATTTCTGATACCAACGTATAGATACATACATTATTCTTGAAAACTTCTCTTTTCCGAAATCCTCTGCAGGCTCCTGTTAGATGCGATTTTAGAAATTAAGAGAAGAAAGTAAGTCACACGGAGAATAAAATTTGATTGTATAAATTGGAAATTTGATGATTTGATTAAAAAAGCAGAAATTAAGTACTTATTGCAGTTAAATCTATCAAACATTTTAGTTTAGTTAACCAGAAATTCTCAATCATGATAATTATAATAGAATTTTAATTAGTATGATCGAAACACTTGTATCGGAATACTTGTATATTACCCTAACACTTAATGAGTTCACGTTCAAAATATGATGCTGATAGCCATATTTATTGTGGGATAATATGAAGTGTACAGTATGAATACATGAAGTTAAATCAAAATAAATAAAAAGTAATACTGTTGATTTTAAATAAAAATATTGAAAAATATCTGGGATGTGTTTTATACTTGTTGCATACGTTGAAATTTTGCACCTTGCATATGACTTTTATCCTACATTAAATATAACAACATAGCTTTATTATAAAATATATGATAGGAGTCTAGTGTAATTATACATATCTAGGTTAAGGCACTAAACTTGTATGCTTCGAGATATGAATTATAAGTTACATACAAAAGTTGCATAACTTAATTTAAGGAGATTATTACATAATGTATACATTTTTTTATAAGAAGTGATCAAAAAATTTCAAAGTTAACTTTATTTTTAAAAATTGAATGTAATATTTGTTATGCCACTATTAGAAGGTATGTTTAATTTTGTGTTTGAATGTATTATTATTGGTTGATCTAAACTAATAGATAAAGAGATATTCGAGGAAACAAAAATTAACACGAAGTTAGAAATAAATATATCTTAGAATTTTAGATAAATATTATAAGATGAATAAAAGTTAACTATATTTTAACTGTATTTTTAAGTAATGCTTATTAATTTGAATAAGCTATTCTCATCTGTTATTCAATTTAATACGAATAATATCGTCGATCTGTACATATTTATCTCACGATATACATTCATTTATCTTAATTAAGATATTAAATTTTCATTTCCTTGTTAATTTGCAAAATTATTTATAAAAACATACCTTTTATCTGGGGAACAAAAAATATGACGCTTCATTAAAAACAAAGTTGATCTCGAAATTTTTTAAACTCCTCCACTTTAAAAAAGATAGTATGTAATGACTCCGAAGTTATGCAACTTTTGTATAACTATTTTTTTATACAAAAATTTATAATTTACAACTTTTTCTAAGTATGGAAGTTAGGTGCCTCATTCAGTCACTCTATACAGAAGTCTATGGATTAGAATGCATTTCGCAGTTCTTGATAGTGTAATCAAAACATTTTTCTCAATGTATTCTAATTTTCAGTTCAATTTTTTTTTACTAAAAGAAAACTGAATTTATTAACGGATTCGAAAGTAGTCACGAGGAAGCATAAGATTTCTCGGAGATAATACGAGCGTGTTAAAACTACAAATGAAAGAAGAGACAACATAAGAATTGCTCTCAAGTTTTCTAAAGTTCCACGTTGTTCTTTTGATTGCTCAGAAAAAAAGTCGAGTAAAATTCTGGCGAGCACGTCGAGGTACAGCAGAAGACTTCGAGGTCATGCAGGACGGAGCGGCGAATCGAAGAGCGTCCTTGCGTCAAGGAGGTGATTCGCTGACGATGTTATTCTGAAGATCATTTGGAAAACGAGATGTGCTGCTCAGGTGGTCCAGGTGGTATCAGGTTGACCGGATGCGGCGTCGTATGCGGCCTCGCCGCGCTGGCGGCTCTCGGCGTTGCTCTTTCGGGTCCAACCTGGCTACACACTGAGGAAAAGCTTGCCGTGCCGGACGTATCTAAGAATTCTGCAGTCAGCGTGAAATTCAAGCTGGGACTTTTCAGAGTCTGCTCGACAATCGTGAATCCTTCCAATCTGACGCTGCGTAAGTAACTTGTATTCTTCATAGCGATTCAAAAATATTGTAGATAAAGAAAAAGAGAATTGATAAAAGATAAATAGGCTACTTTTGACTTAAAAAGTGTAATCTAAATTACACATATTATATAATCTTATAATTTGAATTTTCGAATGTGTTTGTGTGTAATGGTATCAGTTTTATTTGTTTAAAATTGTGATAAAAGTTAATTATGTGCACGATTTCAGTTTATATAGTTCTGCTTTATTAATTATTTTATTCTATTTACGGAATTACGTAGAGTACCCAAATTTGCAAAATTTAAGTTTTTTTGTGCTGTTTGGAAAAAAGAGTAGTTTCATATAGCTTTTGATACGCTTAATCTGTAATTAAAACCCATCACACAATGTTTTTGAGAAAAATGAGGTTCAATCGTTTGAAAAATAAATTTTTGTAGCTGATATATCCGCTGATAAATACGCTAAAGATTTGAAAAGGACTTAAATTTACTTTAAAATATTAAAATATTGAACTTTTTACAGCTAGCGTATTTATTGCTATAGATATATCGGTATTAGGGATGTAATTGTACAATGTCAAGTAAAACAATTGCCTAATATAGTTCCAATACAAAATATCATAGTAAATAATAAAAATTTTATTAGTAGATTTAATACATGGGACTGAAAATGCTCTTTTGTAATAAAAACATTTTTCTCCATTTGTTTAAACAGTTTTTGAAACATAATTTTACAAAAAATTGATTGTACAATTATACAAAAGAATTATGTAAGTTACATGTATTGTAAAATTTTTACTAAATGTGAAATTTTATGTAATTTTACTGCGTATCGTGCATGGGGACTGCATGAAGTAATCGGTATATTTAACAGTGTGTGACTACATCCACTCCTAAAAACAGTAAAAACAAAACGCGCCAGAGGTCCGTTATCGGCTGTAAAAGATTCGATGTTTTTATATTAAATGTATATAATATTCAAACACTAATTTAAGATCTTTTCAAAATTTCTTGCATATCTGATTCGTCAGCTACAAAATTTAAAAAAATAGCCGAAAACGCGTTTATTTGGCGTTTCAATTGTTTTTTTTTTTTTTTTTTTTTTTTTCAAAAACGTGATATAATAAAGAACATTTTCATTTACGATTCGAATTCAGTGTATCAAAAACTATGATAAACTATTTTTTTTTTCAAACAGTAAAAACTATGCAAACCTGTTATTGTAACATTTATTGATTTTATGCATGGAAAAAGATGTACAGTAATATGTGCTAGAATTCTAGTAAATTGTATGGAATTGGCAGGTTTATATAAAGATAGCTGCCTAAAATTTACTTTACCTGGTGAATGAGCATACAGCAAATTGAAAGGATTTTTTAAAATAGATTTTACACATTTCGTAAAGTAAATTTTGAAAGTTATTTACAGTTTTAAGCATAGTGTGATTTACATGGTATAATCACATAAATGAATTTACTGTAATGTTCTTTTTTTTACTTTTCTAATATTTTCATTTTTAAGCAAGTAAAGTTTGTCACACATACACACAAATTCGGCAAAAATAACCGGAATGTTTTTACTAGTCTTATATTAGGTAAAAATTACTCAACCATTTTCCTCCGTGTTCTTTTATACGAGATGCGTACTATGTAACAGTTACAATTAAAACCCTATATAACTTTAATAAATATTCACGTTATGATAGATAGATCATACATTTCACGAGCGCCTGCGGAGCTTTATAATTGTTTCCGCGGGAGTTCTATCTCTCCCGTTTTCTCGATGAAATCTCGCAGTGCGACAGATCTCGCGGAGGATTTTCAGGAACGACAAGAAGTAAACGTAAAAACAAATGACAGTGGTTGTAAAGAGCGCGGTAGGAAGAAGGGAGATTTGTGAGAAGGGTAAAAAGGAAAAGTGAAGGAGGGAGGAAGAGAGCATCTACGAATGACGCGGTTACAAGACTGGTTGCAGCCACCCAGACGATGACAATTCCTTTTTATTTCCCTCACAGCTTCGTCTCGCTCGCTGAAGCTTTCGACTTTTATTTCTCTCGCTGTCCTTGCCATTTCTTCAATCTCCGAAGTTCACCCCTCATCCTTCGCGCGGAAGTTACCTCCAAACGTTGTTTACTGCCCGTACATCGTACACGCAGCTGTACTTAAATGTATTCCGCGATTGGGCGATCTATCCTCATTGTTCTGCGTTCTCTATCGGATTTCAGTTCTTTGAGGGTTGCGCAGGATCGAACTTCGTCGTTATTTATTCACAATGATGGGCGCCGTAGCGTCTATCAAGTTAGTGAAGGTTGGTCGCGCTGAGAGAGAAAGGGTTTTACTGCTTTTTTTCAGTCTTATTAAGATTCGTCACGGTTCAGTGGATTTGTTTAGATTGAATAAAATTTAATCTACTACTACGTAATTGTGCGATTCTTTATTTTATATACCTACCTTCAATTTTATTTTATAATAAAAATTATTAGAGCCAAAGGTATAAAGCAAAAATAATTAATTTCCGATAAGTTAGTTATCACTTTGTGACGTTCAATCACAAATTTTTTTAATTAAATTTAAAATCTCATATACTAAAAGATGAAGATAAACAAGATTCTGATTCTTTTTTTTCTTAGATATAACAGTGAAGGGATTAAAAAAGTGAAGTTTCAAGTTGGATCTGATTAAGTTTCGATATGTAAAGATTAAAATAATTCAAACTGAAGTTAAATGAAGAACTATAGTTATTTAATCACAAACTTTCAGATAAAACGTAATAAACTAAAATGAAATCTTACAATTAATAAATCTCTAAGATTATAATCAAATTTAATAAACGCTTAACAAATTGTGCAAAACTGAACTGTAGCATTTTTAAATTACGATATAATTCCAATATATGTATAATATATTATACTTATTGTGGTAATTTATCAAATATTATTTATTGTGTTTAAGTTAAATAAACACGTAAATACTGGAGTCACCCGAAACAATTCTCTATCTTTTTTTTTTTTTTCAATTAGGTAATATTACTTAATGGTGTACTTTTTAAATTTTTGCATGAAATAGGAATTAAAAATATATTTATAGGTACAAAAATTATGAGAGTGGGAGAATTCAACTTAACGGTTGTTATTAATTATCGGTTATTTATGCGAACAAAACCAAACGAGAGATTTATATTTCGGCGAAACGCCATTATCTGGTTGTATTGGAAACCTGTACATGCAACGATTCCATAACGGAGCCACCATTTGTGTGTGCATTATTTGGTGATTAATAAACGATTTTATTTGCGGTAATCTTCTCTTCACGACTAATAATTAATATTAAAGCTACAGAAATCGACGGGTGGACTTCCGAAAATGTCAAGTGCATGATTGTCATAAATTTTGGCAGAAATACCCTAAATGACGTCAAATAGATGCCCTTAAATGGATTTCTACCGACAAAGAAGTTTAATGCCAAAAATGTTTGAATGAAGTTATAGAAGTTCAGGGGCGCGCGACTTCCACGCGAAGTGACTTCCATCTCACCTCTCCCCTGCCTAAGAGAGCGTGATTTCTACGCGAAGCGACTTTCACCCCTGCACCTCCCTCCTACTTAGGGGCGCACGAATTTTCACGCGTAATAACTTCTTTGTCGGTGAAAATCCATTTAAGGGTATTCATTTGACGCCATTTAGAGTATTTCTGTCAAAATTCATGAAAATTGGGCGCTCAGCGTTTTCGGAAGTTAATCCGAAATCGACTTTTATATCAAACATCTTCCATATATCGTTAGCGATTTTCTTAGTCTAATTGTAAACATAGAATTTTCTTGGTAAAATCTATTTAAAATACAATTATATTATTAGAGGAGAAAATATTAGTCAAAATGTATTAAACATATATAACGTTCTCTGTTAATATCTTCGTTATTGTGGTCCAATGATTGTTTATGGAATTATTTGTTCAGTGGCTAGCCGTTATACTATTACGCTAATATGGCAATGTACAATAACCAGCATTTATTAGTAGGGTTGGAAAAAACCAGGGATTTTTTTAAAAAAGCTCTTCCGATTGGGTTTTATTGGGAATTTTTTTATAAAATTGATTATTTGATATTTTTTACGTAATATTTAGTTACGTTGCATTTATTATTATTTATTTAATTCATACATATTCAAATAAAATTAATTATAAAAGAATTTTGTAAAAATATTATAAAAATGAATTTTTTAAATATAAAAAAACACTTCTATAGTAAAGATAGAAGAATTATGACACTACGTATTATGAATCGTACTAACATTTATTTGGATAACTTAATGTATAAAATTAACTCATAAACAAATTTTTATTAAAAGAGAGTTTGGTGTTTGATTATGATCTTTAATACAATTCCAATAAAACCCAAAAACTTCCAGGATTTTTTGGGTTGGATAAAATAATGCCAACCCTGATTTATATTATTCAAGTATTTTCAAACATTTTTATAAGATTACATTTTAACATTTAATTGCATATATTTCCTCATTCTTCTTAAATTTGAGCGTATTATTATAGTATAAAAACTACATACTATATAGTATTCACACACACACACACACACACACACATACACACATATTTGTATGATAATACACAAACGACACATGTATACATATATTATATACATATATGTATATATTTGAGTGTATAGTCTGTTATTTAATATTATATTTGGGACTGTATACATCGAGTTATGCAAATTTAAATAATATAACATGTATCTACTTTGTTAATATGACCCCTTACGCCATTATGTTGATTATTGATATAGTCTTCTTTTCGAGGGTTTTATATTAAAATAATAGTTCGATAAATCGAACTCTATTATTTTATATATAATTTTTATGTACTTTAGATTTTTTAATACTAAGCAACGTACATACATATATGCAGATAAATTATCAGGGTTGGCAAGTAACGCGTTATTTGTATTATCGTTACAAGTTACTTTTTTCGGTAACGAATAGGTAACGACGTTAC